TAATGTCGTTACATGTAAAAATGCTAGAGTACTCTTTCCAGTTGCTCTCACATTGATCCTCCATGACAACCGTTAACATTGCATTCGAAATACATATGGGCATTAGAATTCTTCACATATTTACACTCAAATTTGTTTACAATGCTGAATTTGTGTAGTTTCTTCTTGAAATCATCTGCATTTGCAAAAGTTTACCTCAATCCTAACAATACTTTCTTCCATTTGAAGGAATTCATCCTTGACAAAGGAGTTGGTGCACTCTCTACTGCATATGACAGGCTAAGAACATTTCCAGATGTTGTATAATTCACACATTCGATAGCATTTTCCTAAATCATTGGCCCATCATTTTGTTGTGATAGTCTCGACAATTTTGACTGCTGCATGTATAATTACAACATTTGTTAGCATCATGGCAATTAACAACTTCCAAAACCAAAAACTTGTAACTTACCTATTTCGATCAGTCACTTCTTCCTCCGCATTCTCATTACCTTTAGCTGTTACGTAAACATGTGCATTACTGTCATTATACTCAAATAGGTTGTCGACTTCATCATCATCAATGAGATCTATGAATATCCTATCATCAAAGCCCAATATGTATTTAATGTCACAACTATTACTATCTACACCAAACCATCCTCCTATCATAACCCTCAAATCTTCAAGCCTTATACCCTCCTTTATCACTCTTACCCTGACAGTTCCACCATTGTACTTAACTTCACCATCACCATTTTCTATAAACTTTCCCACCCATATGAAAGTAACAAGCAAGACGCTTTGAAGATGTTGACCCAATGTTAGATGTCATCAAAGCTTGCTAACCTGCACCAAAGAAGCATAAATCAATATTATAATTCCCCAATAATCAATTTCATTTATCAAGATTTCAAAACTTTTCTTAGGATTTCACAAAAAGCACAACACCCAAAAAACCCACACATCCACTTGCTCTATTGACAACTTAAATATAGGATTTCACAATTCCACTAATGAATTTAACAATACTGACAACCTCATGCTTACTGTTAGCCCTCAAACTTCATGCCCACGTTATCAATTGTCACCATTTTTTAATTTTTGATGCGTCACTCTCTCATCCTGGTCAGATTCTTCATTCAAACCATCTACACTCATAAGCTCATCTCCCATTTGACCATGCACCAATAAACCGACTTGAAAACCCAAACCCATCATTAACCTTGACTTTCTTACATAATACCCACGTTCAACCCCTCTCTTACTACAAACCAAGTTGCCCACAAGGAAATTCCACCGTAATAAATCAGATTTGCAGAATGGTGATAGTTGGAGGAGTAGATAGTAGCATTTTAGCAGAAAATTTCCTTACCTTTTTCTTCTTCTCAGCATTCGACCCTTGCTCCAGCTTCGTTTTCATTTTCTCTCTCTCTCTCTCTCTTTTGGTATTACGTGTCATGTGTTGTTCATGTCTTTAGAGAGGTTTCAGGGACTTTTTAGTCTTTCGACCGAATTGTCAAAATTCCAAATTGATACCTCATGCCCATTTGGTGATTTGATTCATTTGCATGCCCATTTTTTCATTTCAAATTTGAACAGTCATTTTCTGATCATTTTCCCAAATAAATAAGAGAAAAGATGAGCTGGAATCCCAATTGTTTTATTTCAATTTTATATTAGATCATTTTTTTATACTCCTCTTATTCTTTATTTTTTATAAGATACGGAAAAACTAAATTCTCCTTACAATCAATTACAAAACCGAGAAAATTAGAGAGCAGAAAAGATAATAGCAAGACAAGAAATTGAGATGGAAGACAAGGAAGCGTAAGTGGAAAATTAATATTGTGAAACTAACTAATATTTAATTAGCAAAGCCAAAAAACTAATACTTAATTAGAGAAAGTTGGCAAAAAATTAGAGAAAAATAAAAAGAATAATATTAAAAATCTAGATAGATTATTACAGTCTTTGAATAGGAACTAACCATTCCTAAAAAAGTTTCTCATATATAAGATAAGACTGGATGGATTAATAGCTTAAAATTTTGAAAATTTATACTTATTTTTCAACTATTTACGTCCTGCTAAAATTTATATATTTATGAAAACAATTAAAATTTAATCATTGTAGTTTTGACTTATGTATAACCCAGCTCTCAAATATGATGCATGAAAGTTAACTTTAGCTTTCTGAAAAAAAAAATGAAGGAAACAATTGTACAAAACATGTAATAACTATGGAAAAAATTGTTACCAAATAGAAAAATTACATGTTATTTAAGAGAACTTACAATATCTATGATATATGAATATACTGTTTTTCAAATATTTTATGTTTTATATCGCATATTAATATATTGATATTAATTGTCTATCTTCTGTTTTTCTGGCCTTTTAATTATTGACTTCCTATTTAAATAAGAATATTCATACTTATAAATATGATGCTTACCTACTTCTATGAGTATTTAATGTTTAAAACATTGATACGAATCATATCATGATAAAGAAATATAGAGGCATTGGACAAATAAATGTGAACATATAAATTTTAGTTTATCCAAGAAGCAGGGCATTTATTATTTAAAATCAAAAAAATATAATGGCGCGTAAGAGACGTGTAAGAGAACGCATATGGATCAAGGGACAAAAATCTTAATAAGGATATTTAAAGGAACGTGCTCGGTGCGGCGATGTTATGAACTAAAAATATTTATATAATATTTATTATTTTCATATTTTATTATTGCTGTTACAAACCTTATTTTAATTACTTACTTCGTTTGATATTAATATACTTCTTTGATCTTATTTATAAAGTAAAGAGATTTATCATATTTTTAAGTTACTTCATTAAATTTTTAACATTAATAAATTATTTTACCTTTTATTTATCACAATGTAGATAGTTATTTTTTGAAATGTACGTCTATTAAATAGAGATAAAGTTGAAAAACTGTTATATTTTAATAACGTATTAATGTAATTTAAGATTTTTTTTTGTCTGTGTGAACATGCTGAAAATATCTTATCAATATAACTGGAGCATTATAAAGTGATTTTAACCATTGCATGTCCATTAAAAAAAAAAGGGTGGTTAGTCATTATTAAGTTTATTTAAACTTTGTTTTTAAAATACTCATTATTAATTATTGATTTTGTATGCCTAATATTTTCTGCTCAAATAATCTTAATATACTTTCACATATATTTTTGATAATCAAGAACGTTAATTAAATTAAATTTTCATAAATAAACCTAGAAATTAAAGCATAATAGTTTACAAAAGTTGGCTTTATAAATGCAAGGGAGGGTGCATAGTTTAACCATAATCTATGGCAAGCTCAATGAAAAACACAATGACTTTATCATAAATTTCATAAATATCTGGATTGTTTGTTTTAAACTTTATTTATTTCATATTTTAAGGGTGATAAAAAATTATTTGATATTTTATGATGGCAAGAGATATATTTAATATTTTATATTATTAATATTGATACAAATTAAATGATAACTAATGTGAATATTAATTATATCAAGTATACTGATATTAATCATTTCTGGCAAAAAAAAAATTTAGGCTAAATTATACAACGTTTTTCTAAATTTTAAGCCATATGTTGAAACTTTACCCTAAACATTCCTAAACTTTTACATTTATGCATACATTATTTTTGTTCGTTATTTATCGACAAATAACTTAAAATTTTAAGGAGGTTTATCTACATATAACTCAATTTAAAAAGTTATATTTATATAAAAATAAAATTTAAGGGAATATAAAATTGACAGTTTGACGTTACTCACTTGAAAATTTAACGGGTTTGTTGATTTTGTTGTTATTAAATTTTTAAAGTTAAAGAAATTATTTTATGGAAAATTTATGCAATTTAGCCAGACAAACTATAAATCATTATTATTGATAGTTTTAAATATTATTTTTTTATGCACAGATATTTTTAACATTATAAAAGATTAAATATTTGAATTATAATCCTTAATAACATAAATAATAGCATTAAAAATATCAATTATTGACCCACGATTATTACCTTAATCAATAATACAGTTTCCCAACTACATTGGGATGGTCTGCGCCACAAATAAACAAAGACTAAAGGCTTTGTTTGCTTCAATGAAAAGAAAGGGGGGGAAATGAAGGTAAGCAGGGATAAAAAAAAAAAGTCATGCGTTTTGTTTGGTTGGAAGATAGGAAAGGAGAAAACTTTCTTATTTGGTTTAGAAGAGGAAGGAAGAAAAACTAATTATAAGTTGGCAAATATATCCTTATTTTTTATTATTTTATTTTTATATTTATATCATAATTATTATTTTTGATTTATGAATATAGAAAAACAAGCTATCTCACATGTATAAAATATTTACATATCTATAAAATATATACATATCATAAAAAAATATTATATCATCATTATCAAATATGCATATCATAAAAAATATATACTTATCATATTATATTAAGAAAAATAGTACAATTATGATAAAAATATTATACCATTATTATCAAATATCATTTAAAAGACTTTTACTAAAAATAATAAACTTGAAATTTAAAAAGAATAGCAGCTGAAAGAGTTAAAAAAAAAATTTACTGAAAAGGATAAACCTAGAATATTTAGAAATTAACATAGATAATTTAGTTAGGATAAAACATAATATTTCTTTCCCTTTCAAAAAAAAAAACCTCAAATTTAGAAGGAAGTACTAAAAGACAAATTTTTTTTTCCTTTTCTCTCCTCCCCTTCATTTTTTTTCTGAACCAAATACAATTTCTTATGTCCTCCCTCTTCTTTTTTTTCTAAACCTCCCAACCAAAGAGTAGGAAAAAGGGAAAAAAAACAATGTATTATTGAGGTGGCGTTGGAAAGCGCGAAAATACAGTGTGGCGTTATATAAAAGGCGGAATGGGACCGCACTTCCTAGGCTCTGCTTCAAAGCTTCCACGCTCAACTCAATCCTTATCTCCTTCCTCTGCTGCTTGCTTCAAACTCGAGTGTGTATGTTTCTCTTCTTCGGCGTTGAAGCTGCCTCCTCCACTTCTTCTTCTTTAATCATGCTTCTCTCTTTATATGTCTCCACCATTCTCATTGCAAATTCATTAGTTTTCTTCTTGATTCTCCCTCATCGATTGGCCAACAAATTCAACATTTGAATCATTTTTGTTGTATAAGATGACTTTTCTCACTCCCTTTGTGCCATTTCTTTTTCTTTCTTCAATTCGCCTTCGGGCATTTGAACTGGGCAGGGCAGGGCCTGGTATTCGCTGATTTCTTTGTGATTTCGTAATTAAAAACATGATATCTGTGCTTTCGAGATTGAATCGGCAGAATGCTACTAGTTTGTTTCTAATTCTCGTTTTAATTTTGTGACGAAGTGGTTCTTATGCCGGAGTTTGTGTTAATTTCAGAATTTCAACGAACCAGTATCAGCAATTGTGAAGGCGGATGGCTACTTCTCCGGTAAGTCAATGAACTTGACCGCTACTTATTACTACATTAATGGCTTATACTGTCTATCAAGCTCAGGCACATGTGGACCTGTGAACTTATATTGTGTCCCATACTTCTGCTCATCTTCTGCTCATCTTCTCCGTGCATCCCACTTGTTCACCCATTTTTCTGTTTATACGGATTGCACAGTTGTGAAGCATCAAGCCCTCCAATTTCTGTGTTCAATTACGTGTATTTCTGCCACTAATATGTCTCGAACAAATGGATTGTATCTTTCTTTAAGCTGTTCTTTAACTCCCAACCGTGCAATAATTCATTATACTAATGGATCTACGTATTTTAGGTCCTCTTTTTATTGATGATTTTCCTTCCCCCTCTTTTGTAACTTTGTTTACTCTCTTGAATATCGGCTTCCCTACCACCTCATGGCCTCTCTTACTTTGGTTCTTATTTCAGACTCACGCTAAACAGAAAATGAAGAGGTTGGAATCAAGAAAATCACATTCCTGGTGGTGGGACAGTCACGTTAGTCCCAAGAATTCAAAGTGGCTTGCAGAAAATCTTGAAGGTGAGCAAATGTGGAAATTATTGGTCATATTGTTTGTTTGTATTCCTTTTTCCGATCGCGATTATGAATCAAATAAAAGAAGAGCAAAGTAAAGCATCAAATGCAGCTTCTGCTCTAAATCTTGGGACATGTCAAATACAGTTTTGGTGGGTGAGTGCTTAGACATCAAAAGCTTCGGGTTCATGATTGATTAGACGTATTCAGACTGGCCTAAATAATGTCAACTAACAAGGGACCCATAATTTTTAAATTAGATATTGTCGGTACACGTTGATTTTTTTCCCCCAATAATTTTTGCTAGGTTCTAATTTTTATTATTCAGGGACAAACCTGGAATTATATATTGCAAGAATGAAGATGTGCTTGATGATCATTTTTCTACTTTTAAATTTTTCAAATCATAATTTATTAGCCTTTTTTTGGCGTTTATTATTTTTAACCAGACCCAGCGATTGAGATTTTGTCAAAGGAAAATGTGAGGAGCCCACTTTGCGCGACATCTACTTGCCCATATCAATAAATCATCTCCATGAGATTTGGACAGTCTAGATTTTATTAATTTATTTTTAAAATTTTAAAGTAAAATTATTTCTTTTTATAGATTAATAATTAAAACATTGATGTTATTTCGCATTCCGCGTTATTGAAGGTGAAAAAATAAAATTATAAAAGAAAGTAATAAGATTTAAGTTGTTCAAATTAGATATGAAGATAACACATGGACCTGACTTCTCTTTACATTTTTCTCCATCAAAATTCATTTAGCTATTTTTAGCCTTCCATATTTCCATTACTTGCACTTAACCCATTTATGTGAATGGGAAGTTTTAGGCACGTGAGGAAATTAACCATCAGTTGATCCTTGAAATACCCACATTTTAACGGGTAAATTGTTGTCCCTAGATTGAAAACGTTTAAAGGCAGTTCCGGGTTAGGATGGTTAATAAGACATGGGTTAATTTACCAGCTCCATTAGTGATTGTTGATGAATATATGTTAAAACCCGTGTGTATTTATATCGTTATGGGGCTCCTTCCTTATGTTGTTCTAACGAAATTTGTTGCTCTTGTGCTGGACTATTATGTGCTTTTTAACGATCAAGGTACTTGGGATCTTTATTCCACAACCTAAAAATGGAAAAGTTAAAACAGGTTCAGATATTAACGTTGGTGTAATTTTAGCATCTTGGTTACCTCTTACCCTTATTTCATTAGAGAAAGAATTCCCCAGAGGAAACATACATATTCCATTATTCAATTTTTCTACTGTTCCATCAAATCTCAATATCAATTTTTCATCAAAATGCCTGTCAAGAAAATGACAAAACGATATTTCACCTCAGAAATGGACAAGAGAGTGAAGAGAATGCTGAAACTGATTGAAGAGGATGCAGATTCATTTGCCAAGAAGGCAGAGATGTATTATCAGAAGAGGCCTGAATTGATTTCTCTTGTCGAGGATTTCTATCGAATGTACCGTTCTCTAGCTGAACGTTATGATCATGTCACGATTGAATTGAGGAAGAACATCCCCTCTGATCTTCAATCCCAAGGCTCAGGTATATCTGACCTTGGTTCTGTTTCTGGGCTGTCTTCTACCATGCCTTCTCCAGGAAGGCCGAGCCATCGTAAATCCAGTAATCGGGCTGCCGGATTTGATGTTTTTCTTGGATCTGGTGGAAATGGTTCTGATGCTGGACACGGTGAAGGATCTGAATCTTCAATGACATCAGATTCTGAGGAGGACTCTGATGATTCTTCCATTCACAATGACTCAGGTTTCCCAGGAAGTATTGATGATTATCATAGGCAAAGCAGGAAAATAATGGAATTGGAAATTGAGGTACGCGACTTGAAAGAAAAAATCTGGCAGCAAGAAGAGGAGAATGCAGAAAAACGGGAAAGAAATGAGAATTGTGAAGAGATTCTTGCCAAGGTTAACGAATATGAACAAGAGCTGGAGAAAGTGAACAAAAAATTAAGGCTTTCAGAAGAAGAAATCTCCGTTCTAAAGATTGAGCTTGACAGATTGAGGTCCCTGGAGCCAGCAGATTTGCAGGCTACTATAGAATTTTCATCAACTCAGGAACATTTAGAACCTCATAATAAGATTAAGTCACCTGAGGAAGAGCTAAGAATCACCAAAGAAACACTTGAAGCTTCAGAAAAGCATATTGCTTCATTAGAATTTGAAACCATAAAATCAGCTCAGAAAATTCAGGAACTGCAGGATCAGCTTGACTCAGCTTCGAAGGACATCGCTGCTTGGAAGACCAAATTCAACACTGAGAAAAAAGAGACCAATGAACTACAAAAAAGACTTGAAAACACAAAACTCGGTCTCTTAGACCAAGATCATGAGATCAGAGATTTAAAAGCAGCCATAGCCGATGCAGAGACAAGGAACGTCAACTCTGAAAAAGCAGAGACGGAGGCACTCAAGGGTGAAATCAAGGAAAGAGAGAAGAACAGGAAAAATCTAAATGCAACTATGAACGCATTAAAATCGGAGAGAGATGATCTCAATGCAGAAGTTGGTAGGCTGAAGATAGAGATAAACAGAAGAGATGATCGGATTGAACAACTGGGTTGGCATTTGAACCAGTTACACATGGAACATGTGAAGCTGTTATCAGGAAGGGAAGACGCACAGAAGCAAGTGAAAGAGCTTAAACAAAGAGGAAAGGAACTAGAGGAAGAGATTGAACGGCACAAAAATGAGATATTACAGGGAGCAGAAGAGAAACGAGAAGCCATAAGGCAGCTTTGCCTTTCACTAGAGCATTACAGAAATGATTATAACAGACTTCGTCAAGATTATGCTGAGCGCAGAAGAGTTTCAGTGTTGGCCTCCTAATACACACATATGTATGTATTTATTTCTTTGTTATGCTTTCAATATGATGTAGATCAGTAAAGGTCATTAAATTGGACTTTTCGGTTGTCTAGTAAACATGATCACGTTTATGTTGCTTGTCTTACTTGAAGGACGTTATATTCCACTATTTTGAAGGGAGAAGACATAGAAGGACGACCAAAATATGAGAATCCCATAATGGTCTCTCAAAACGGCTTAATTCTTGTGAAATCTTTAAAGACTATTCTGGAGCAAACCATTTTTTTGGTGAAATGACCTAATTGCTATGGTGTAATTAAAAAAAGCTTCCTCTACTGCTGGCTTTTTAACTAACATGCGACAAACAGTTTAAACAAAAAAAATACTCAAATTCTGTATGGTGGAAAGTATTTATTGAGATTTTACAAATCGTTCAAACATGGAACAAGTTCAAAATTGTGGGAAACTCATCAAGGTCGAGAATAATTTTAACTTAACTCCTCTTGTCACATTATCTTATCATACCTGATATTTATATTTTTTTAATAAAAAGGCAAAATCATTCATGAGATGAACGATTTCACCATTTCTATACTCTCTCCCCCCATCATCTCTGGCTTCTCCTTCCTTGTCTGACGCTCTTGCGCCTCTCCTTTCCTCCTTCTCTTTTCTCATTCTTCATGTGTTATCTGACCTGCCTCAGTGGTTAGAAATATCATGGCTACCCTCTGCTTTGCACAGTACCATAATAGCAAATAATCTTTTATTGGGTAAATAATATTTCATTAGTTAAAATTAAACCAAAAAAAAAATCAGGAGTAAAATTGTAACTAAGAAATAAGACTAGGTTTAAAATTGCACCTTTACCCTACTTTATTTGAGAAGACCATAAGTTGACAACACCCCTCTCTCCCATGCTCTCTCCTCGTCAATTTCATGGAACAATATTTTAATGGTTGTATTCAATAACATGATCCATCTACTAGCTTCCCAAAACGAAATAACTAGGTATAAGATGAGAGGAAGGAGAAGATGCTTGAGCGGAGATTAAAAGGAAGAGAAAGGAGAAGACGCTGGAGCAAAAAAGGAAGGAGAAGCCGGAGATGAAGGAAGGAAGGAGAGGAGGGAGAGAGCGTAGGAAAAGTGAAATAGTTAACCTCATAAACTTTTTGCTTTTTTTTATTAAAAAAGATATAAATGTCAAATATATGGTCAGATGATATGATGAGAGGAGCTAAGTTAAAATCGTTCTTGACCAAGACCAGTTTTTCACAATTTTGAACTCATTTTTCACCTAAACAATTTTAATTGTAGTATTTTGATAACTGGGTTAAAGTGCAATCCATCCCCCGAGGTTTTTCGTTTGTCATAATTTCAACCCAAACATATTTTGAGGCACAATTTTTGTCACGTCGTATTTTCAAGTGGGGCAATGTTTGACCTATTAGACGGTTTGGCTAAACGGCGTCAAAAAACTCCCACACCGGAAAGAAACTAATTGACACGTCATTCAATAGGAGACACAGCAAATGTATAGGTTGGATGGGTTCATTAAAGGAGATAGATGCCATTTGAAACTCAGTCAAGGGCACACGAAGTGCGAAACATTATCGAGAGAGCAACCACTTTGGGAGACTTTTATGGCAAAGATGATGGAAGAATCTGTGTCATCCCCGATAAGAAAGCATTAGGACGAGAGCGTTGATGCTAAGGGAGGGTGCGGAGTCGTAATACGAAGGGGATAAGAGATACTCTCATTGCGGTTTGGCTGCTCCATGGTGGACTTAATGGAACTTGGGAGAAGATTCTATGGATGCCCTAACTATTGGGAGGTATGTGTGTGTTACATTGTTGGGTTAGTAAAATGGGTAGTAATTTTTTGCGACATTGTGCAGGGGTGATGTGGGTATTTTGCATGGCACGATGAAGATGCAGATGAAAGGTCGAAGGTTGTGATTAATGTGCTTGTGGAACATGTAGATAAACCTTTTAATGGAAATGTGAGAATGTGGACGTGAGAGACTGCGAGGGGAGAAAGTCCAAACGAAGGAAATGGTGTAAGGTGAAATGAAGAAAGTAGAGATGCAACAAGAGAAGGAGCTAGCACTATTGAAGAAGTTGAACACAGTAACGGCAAGTCTAATCATATCATGGGTGTTATTTATTTTGTCGTTTCAAGTCAGTAATGTTGTGGTATTTGTAACGTAACCATGTTGAAGTGAATTGAAATTGCATTTTCGAAATGTATTTTGATGGTTAGATTTGGGAAATGTATTTTGTTTTTTGCTTGTTTATTTGGGATATGTATGAGTTGTTAGAATTTATGTTTTACTAATGACAAATGCATTTTCTAAATTTATAATTTCTAGCAAAACCATGCCAAGAATATTTATTGATTAGTTTTCTCTATTACGTATTTAAGAATTGGTCTTCTCGAGTACGTATTTGAAAAGCTTCCTACGTTGTGCTAAATTACCTTTTTCTAAACTGTTTTTCTCTAATATATATTCAAGAACAGGTCTTCTTGAATACATATTCAAGAACTGGTCTTTGATCCTCTCTAGTACATATTTGAGAAGCTCCCTACGTTTTGCCAAATTATCTGTCTCTAAATTATTTTTTTCTAATATATATTTGAGAACTGGTCTTCTCGAATACATATTCGAGAACTAGTCTTTGGTTTTCTCAAGTACTCATAGTCAACATAACCAAACCATCCAATTAGTCAAACATTGCCCCGCTTGGAAATACAACGTGACAAAAATTGTGTCTTAAAATACATCTAAGTTTAAATTACGACAAATGAAAAACTTTGGGGGGTTGGATTGCACTTTAACCCTTTGATAAATACCTTGCATAGGATTGTTTAGGTGATTGTTTTTTATTAGTTCTAGTTTGTTAGTGAAAAAAGACCCTACTACTAGTTTTTGGCCGCTAAAACTCTATTGTTAGCCACCAAGACTCCCGTGCCGATAGTAATTGGAGACTTTTTTGATATTTTAAGAAAAATAATATCTATTTATTACAAATAACTAATTTAATTATTTTTTTTAATATTTATAAATTAGTTATCTAGTTCTTATATTAAGGACAATAGTTAGTAGTATTTTAGATGAGTCATTTGTATTGAATAGAGAATAAGTTCTATAGTTTATAATTTGTAGCCAGTATGATTTATTATAAATTTTACAATTTATATTAATAAAATGCCAAAAGTGGATTGCAAAAAATGAGTCTGGACTTGGGACTAGCGTAGGCAAAAAAAGATATTGAAAAAATTTATTAAAATATTATTTCTCTGCTTTCTTTTTAAAATTTTGACCTCTAAAAAAAGTGAAGTTCAAATCAACAATATATTTAAAAAGCATTAATAAAAAATGAAATGTCATATCACAAAAAGATATTAAAAACCTATAAGATTATAAAAATATATATATTCCTAAATAAAAGTAACATAATTTAAGATACTATCAGGAAATTTGAAAAATTAGAATTGGAAAAAAAAAAAAAAACTCAACAACAATATCATACTCCCTCCTATCCAAAATGTAAAAAAGTGACAGGATACAATTTACCGTAGATTTCATACTCCTTGTTAAAAGAAGGAGAGAGAATTTTAAATGTAAGAGAGAGAAGAAAGAATTTTTCAATATTTTTTTTTTGCTACGCATCCAATCACATTCTTTGATAAAAATAAAATATGTAACTTTTACCAATTTAAAATGCATTTCTTGTGACAATTTAAAACACATTTTTTGTGACAATTTAAAACACATTTAACCATTCAACTAACATTCTTTGATTAGCAAAAAGGGTTAACTAACATATTATATCATGGATAAGAGAGAGTTGTAAGATAATCTTAATACTCCTTCGATATTAAATATAAAACCCACTTTTATACTATAAAGTAGGTCTTATATTTAGGACTGAAGGAGTATTACGTAATAATATCGCTGGCAATAAAAAAACATTACGTAATAATGTCAACAAAAAAATTTTAAAACATACAATTAAAAGAAGGATTAATTCCTTAATGATGCAGGGACAATCCAGGTTAGCCTAGCTCGATTGGTTTGGCCCATGATTTTTTTTTTCCCCGAACCTGACTTGAAATGTCCAGACTAGACTGAATTTGCTTGACTAATTGAATTATTCAATCTTGATACTAAAAAAACAAAAAAAAAAAAGAATTATTCAATCTTAACCAAACAATCTGTACAGTTAGAAAATGTCCATTTCCTCATAGCTGTGCGTATGTTTTGGAAAATATTAGCTCTCCCTCTAATAAGTTTCTGTATGGTTGGACTATAGAAGGAAGAAATCTTCTGCTTTCTTCATCAATATTAGATGTGTTGTGGTGAACCCATTCAAAATTCTGTCTGGGTAAAATTTTGGGCTTCCTCAACAAAGCACTTATCTCCTACCCCTGCGAAATATAAGGTACTACTCTTCAAGAAATTTACCGAAGGATTCGATGGAAGTTATAAGCTACAGGAAACTTCGTCATTTTTGGCCAAAAAAAAAAGGAAACTTCGTCATTGCCATAACAAGCTGCATCTCCATCCATTCTAATGTCATTGCAGAATATCTTATTGCATTGTTTATTTTTTTTCCGGATTTTCTTTTCATATTTCAGACAATATTTTCTTTTGAACTCTAATGCCCCTCTTCCATAAGTTTATTATGCTGTTTCTTTTTCTTTTATTTGAATTTTTTTATTCATTAAAAAAAAATTCAATCTTAACCAGAAGAACTGCCAAAAAAATAAAACAAAAGAAAAATTCACTACCCCATTAGTAGAAAAAGATGAATAAACAAATATGTTAAAGCTACATTAGGAAAATGAAATTTACGATAAAACTATTTCATTTTCCCCCCTTGTGCATAGAGAAAACAAATTGCAAACACTTCGAATTAAAGAACAAAATTTGACAAAATAAAGTGCGGGATAAATTTGACAAATATGTGCGATAAAACTGACATCAACTTTTGATAAGAAATTGAGACCAACTCCTCATTTTTTGTTGGATTTTGGGTTTTGATCCGCCCTTGATGGGCCGGATTATTTGACCGGGTATAAAGAGAATATACCAGTCAAATATCCAAGCGATATTGTGATATGTTTGAC